TTTTTGGAGAGAGAGAGAGAGAGAGAGAGAGAGAGAGAGAGAGAGAGAGAGAGAGAGAGAGAGAGAGAGAGAGAGAGAGAGAGAGAGAGATATGAACGGCAAATCGACACGGAAGATTGTGGGCACCTACAGTTAGCGAATAATCTTAATCTTATGAAAAAGAAAGATTTTAATAAAATCTGAATAAAATTTATCATGACGGGTATAAATTGATCAAATGGACAAAGAAATTTGCATCATTAAAATAACTTAATTTTTATAAATCCTTTTCAAGTATACTAGATATTTTTTTCAGGTAATGTGTGTAGGGGGGGGTAGTATTATACATGTATACTAGAGGGTTCGAAATAAATATTTGTTAGCACTTGTTCTACGGGCTTATGACTTTCAAATTTCACTACTTCGTAAAATATTTTACTAGACAAGTCCCCATTCTGTCTTATTATTAGGTTAACATCATAACTTCCCCTACGCCTACCTACTTTAATGAGATGAAATTTAACTTCGGCACATAAATTAAATTAATTCCAATTCACCGATAGCTACAAAGGGGAATGGTTAGTATGAAACATGAAATATTTTTGTTCAAATTGAATCATGATTAAAAAATACTTAATACTTAAAAAATTAAATCGTGATCTACACCCCCGGCAATGTGAATAAACAGAGTACTTTTCAAGTATTGTAAAGCGTCAGTACTGTTTGTATCTTTGAGAGAGAGAGAGAGAGAGAAGAGAAAATATTGGAGAAAATAGTGCTACTGCTAATATTAGTCTTACCGCTGACCTAGTAGATATGAATATTTTCCGTAAGATTACTATAATTGCTACTATTACATGAATTTTTATTGCTAGTCTGATAAATATTTATTAGTCTCCGTCATTGGGTACATATGAACCCTGTGAAAGCGACCTACCAACCATTCATTTAGAAATAATGTTTTAAGTGACAAAATTAACAAGGTATAGTACAAGACTGTACTGTTCAATTGGGGAACTCCCGTATGAGCAAATGAAACTGGAAATCCGTTAAAAGGGGTAAACAATTATTTGACTTGTACAGATGTCCGAGAACATTAGGAAATTGAATTACCTATGAGGCCTAATTAATTATTCAATAGTTAGAAGATTCCCTATTTGAACAAAAGACGTCCTGTTTGTGAAAAGAATATTAATACAACTTTCCAATAGTGAAAAGGGGGCTCTCTAAAGTCAGATATCAGTGTGCAAAGAAATTAATAGATGAAAACTAACTTGACGAATAATTAATTTTAATTCTTTCATTGAACTGGGATATATATATTCTACACATAATTTTAAAATTGATTTACATGTAGTTTATTTCAAATCATATTCTGAATTATTTTATAGATATCGATGATATTTAAAATTAGATTTAAAAAAAATAATAATAAACTATTTCTTTTTTCATCAAAAATTTAAATAAGACTGTTTTTAAACGCAAAGTATAACACACAGTCATTTTCACAACACTGCAGCCTCCCCGAGAGCGAGAACAATAGGGACAGTAATTATCAGTAAATGTCAGGACTTGTCTAAGTTTTTCAGCGGGGAAAGTAAACGGGTCAGTAATTGTCTAAGCACCGACTAAGATTGTCAGCACTTTTCTAAGTTTATCAGCACCGGCAGTAAAAAGATCAGTAATTGTCTAAGTTTTAGAGTAACGACAGCACATTGTCAGTGATTTTCTAAGTTTGCCAGTAAAAAATGGGAATGTCAGTACGTTTTTGACTTAGTAGTGAAAGGTTCATATGCCCCTTTAAGCCCATAATTTAAGGGGTCAGCTCCTTTTTCTTGATATCAAATCGAAGGGTTATGATTCTAAAGCGTTTTGGGCAAAACCTATTTAGAGATTTCTTTTCCTTGTGGAGATATGCTTCATATAAATATTTAGGGTCCACCACTATCACTGCATGAAAAGTCGGGTTTAATTTTACCTTAAATGTGATTTAAATGCTGCGATTATTTAATGTTTAAATGCATATTATAACATATTGTGGGATCGTAAATGTTAGAAAATAATTAGCATTTAATACGAGTTTAATGAAAAATTAAAAGAACAAATTTAATAAAGTTTGGAAAATTGTAAACTTACTAATACGTTCGGATTTTAGTATGCCGTAAACAATTATTATACCTCTAATATACAAAACGTATAATTATTATTAAACATGGCCATTAAATTAAGTTTTACGGTCACATTAAATTTGTTCGTTTAATAAAATTTAATGTAGATCTTTACCTCATTATTTTTTGTTAAATTCACACTTTACTTTATAATACTTCCAAAAATAAAGTTATAAACGGAGATGGAAACTTACTAATACGTGCAAATTTTATCCTTTCATAAACTAATATTAAAACTCTTGTATATGTAACTCTCCCATATAATTAAGATTTAAGGTTGTATTTGATGAAATTTAACATTATTATATTATTGCATAATATTTTTATTTTACATTTATTCCATCAATAATTTGTATGGTTTACAATTGTGGGTTTTTGGCAAGTATTTTACAATCTTACACAAATCCATTTCTCATTCAATTTTATTAGATGTTATATCAATAGTGTACAAACAATGAGTTTTAACAAAGTACAAAATCTTTCAAATTTAAGTCTAAAAGTCAGAATTAAAAAAATTACAATCATGATTGTAGCTCAATTATAATGGAGTAAATTTCTACATACTAGTAGTAAGTAATATACTGAAGTAATTATAAATAATATAAGAATAATATTGGATGTAAAATTCAAATCCGCAATAAATCAAAACACAACAGGTAAAAAATGTAGTCATTCTGGACTCCAAAATCTGCCTGAAACTGCCCCTATTAAAACTTCTGCAAGGGTTGTAAATGGCTTTTCAATTTCCGACAATAAATTATATCATACTTTGCATAAAAAGAATAAAAGTTGCCAAAAAAGTTGTCTATTCTTTTTACATGTACATTTTAATAAGACACACTAAGCCACTAACAGAGAAGCCTCACTCGCCCACAAGCAACAGCAAAAGGATCGGTCAGCGACACCACCTTTCTCTTGCTTGGGTATCAAGATCTGCAACTTACTGCCAGCAAAGCTCTTTTAGACCACCCTTATATTGCTTCCCAAATATTTCAACAATAGATGTCCATGAACTAATTATTCAAGTTCAACTTGAAAAATACTTAATGTTGACTGTGAAAAATACAAGACCCCCAAAAATCCTTTATATCATTTGGTTATGTCAATTCAAATAAAGGAAAAAGTATCACAATTACACAAAACAATAGCAGCTTAAATTTGTTTACAATACATGTAGCTCATTTCTGTTCCAACTGCTAGGTTTATTGCTTGATGATTGTAATATAACATATCCTCATTAAATCATCGTTACATTGGAGTGCAAAACATTTCAATAGTGATATTTTCAACTTTGCTTTAAAATATCAAAAATGAGCTCTGAAACATGCACATATAAAAGTCCTGTATAAACATATGCAAACATATATTTAACAATTTTTTAAGCCTTAATTACAATTCCATAACTCATAATTCATAAACTCTCTTACTTCAAATGGAAGGAAACAAATTAATATTTTACTCTTGCAATTCTCATTTATTTACTCTTGCAATATCAATTGTAACATTTATTAAAATCACAATTTACCCCTTTTTATTTAGAAATGTCTCTACCTCATTTGCCTATTCTATTCTTTACATCTATGACTCACTAAGCCACTGACAGAGAAGCCTCACTCGCCCACAAGCAACAGCAAAAAAATCGGTCAGAGACGCCACCTTTCTCTTACTTGGGTATCAAGATCTGCAACTTACTGCCAGCAAAGCTCTTTCAGACTTCCTTTGATCATGATTGTCTTATTTTTTCCACAATAATGTCCATGCACTTATTATTTAAGTTAGACTTGTACATATATGTGATATATAAATCAAGATTAAAATGTATGTGATTGCAGACCAATAAATGTTTAAACAATAAAATACATAACAATTTTAATCTGTAATCAAGCATAAGAAAAAACTTTCACTGTCAAAAATACAACACTAGGTATATTTTTCTTATCTAACATTGGATTTTTGCAAAACAGTAGCAACTCAAATATTTCATCTCTAATAGCCCATCTCTGTTCAATTAATACATTCATAGGTTTGACTCATTTAGATTCTTTATTTGTCGTAGTTCTTCTTATGCCCTGTCTTTTAGAGTGCTTTGATTTGAGAATGGCACTTTTGGTGTCCTGTTCTTTGAAGACATTCTCACATTCATCAGAACACAACTTCAGCTTTCTAATTTCATAGATAGTATTATCTTTAGAATCATTTTTTGTACTATGAAGATGTAATCAATATTTAAAACTGCTTTTTCTTGCTTCTTCTTCTCTTCATGCCAAGAAGTTTTTAGCTCTGGAGAAGCACACCTAGCTCCTAATTTCTACAATAAACATAAAAATAAATACCCATTTGCCTATATATACATATTATATGTGTGCTTCCGGATTAATGCAATTTCATATATTAAATAGTAAAAAACAAAATCTGAGTTGATTTTAAAATTATCATTTGACCTAGAGGAAGCACAGCTCAATTTTGCTTAGTTAAAAATTTACAGAAGACTACAAAAGATATGCCATTTTTTCAAATCTGGGTAATAAAGACAGATAATTATCTATAATTTCAGGCCAGCGAGCTACAGATTTCGAAGCGTGTAAATTTGGGTCTAATGATTTTTTTCACCATCTTTATTTTTGGAGCAATTTACCTGCTTGACCTTGAACATGTTGAGGTGCCCTTTTCTCTGCTCCTCCACACTAATTCTTTCATTTAGCAGCAAGATACTATGGATATGGTAAAAAGCTGTCATAAACAAAATATGAAAAATTAATAACAGGTGTGGCTCTCCATAGAAAGAATATTCAAAAAAGGAGAAAAATATACAAACAGGGTATACTTAGGACTAACATGACTACAGCAAGAAGATAACATTTTACACAATGAAAAAAAATTCTCTGTCATCTAGTTAAGTGAATTGCATAAAAAAACATATAATTATATGTATAGATCAAATTTATAGACGACAAAATATGATACGAAACATACATAATGGTACCGTAGTCCGAGCACATGGAATTTGAAGATTTACAAAGTTTGGGAAAATGCAAAGAATAGCATTTACAGCATTTATCATATTAGGACACACATATATATAGTTTCACAGCATCAAGCTGCAGAATTTGTGGAAGTAAATGTAAATTGGGGATCATTTTTTTTTAGCAATTTACCAATGTATTTACCTGCTTGACCTTAAATATGTTGAGGTGCGCAGCCTTTTTCTTCGTGTTCCTCCACAATATTTTATTTAATGTAGCAGAAAGATACTATGGATGAAAAAAATATGAAAAATTAAAAGCAGGTATGGCATCTAGTAGAAAAATATACAAACAGATGTATTTATGATATACAGCAAGTAGATAACATTCATACAATAATAAAATCCTCAAACCTTGTGATGTAGTACATATTATGATATGTATAATATTAAATTTAGAGACGACAAAACATGATGTCAAATGGGTGTACATACTCGGAACACATGGAATTTAAGAGTAAACTTAAATGCAAAGGTTAGCATCTACAGCATTTAACATGCAAGTTATTGAGATAATGAACAAGTGATTTAACATAAAGTAAAATATATTAACAACTTACACTGTAGATAGCAAGTTTTTAAAGTGGACAACAAATGCAAACTTTCAGTAAATGGTGGCAATTTCATACACAATAAGTTGTACAACAAATGATTAGTTTGTACCTCATACTGGGTAGCCAAATATCTGGTCAAGTCACTTTCAGGAAGAGAGCCTCAGCAAGTTCAATGTTGATCATTCCCATAGCTACTTCAAACTTTTCTGGCACAATTTCTGAAAGAAAAGATGTATCATGCAGGGATTTTATTCAAACTAGGAATAATTTCCATGAATGTAAAAATTTGAAAAGTTTATAGATGACCGACGAATACCAGACACAGAACAGAAAACTCGCTCGGGTCTTAAAATGGCTCAGGTGAGCTAAAATAAATCAATTCATGCGATTTTATTGATCTTATCAGAAAATTTAAGAAATCTTACCGTTGTGTTAATCTTCATACTGCTTTTGTCATTTCTTGTGAGCATTTAGATTCCTGTAAATAATACATGCATAATTGTGCATCATAGAATGTGAAAGCTATTTTTAATAATTCATGCCTACGTATTTAACGTAAAAAATTATGCATAGCTCAGAATCCATTGCTTTTGTTTTTTTTAGGATAAGGAAAATAAAAATATAAACCTCGTATTGTCTACTTGGTATATAGCATTTCAAGTTGTTGCAATATTTTTTATACTCTTATGCATAAAGATACAAGTTAATAAAACATTGTTTGTTTATTTGTGATAATAGAAAATTTGAGTGGTGTGGTTCTCACCATTTTCACAAGCTGTCTACATAGCCGGCATTATGGGGAATATCGTCTCAGGCACAGTCCACACTGAAACTATTTAAATAATCGAAATAAGTGCTAAATATACTCTTGAGTAAGCATTAAAAAATAAATAAATAAATTATTACATTTTACGACACTCTCTGTAAATGCTGAACAGAAGAACACTTTAGTGACAAAAATTCTGAAACCAATCCCAAACGAGAAAATTCTGGTTAAATCCATCTTTAAGTTAGATGGTTAAAAGTGTTAAATAATTATTACAAAATGTAAGTAGCGCTTGCCCAAACGTTTTAACTGCCAGGCATTTTATGTGTACAGCCCAGACTAAGGAACAGTAACATTATCAGTAGCAGAGGCAATTATTCATTCAAGGACACATGATAACATTTTGTACATTGTTCATACCGCTAAACAGGGTCGAAAATGTCTTCATCTTCTGTCAAAACATAAATTCCATCCAAAGTTTATCATGCTTCTCCTTTTCGAGTAACTCTCTTTCGCCCCTTCCTGCCGTACAACATCATGATCAAGTTCAACATGGCTGCGTGGAACTCTCCCAAAAATTGAATTTCGGCGCGGTGTGTTGTTTTTAAATAAATTGCTTTTCGAGCCCGACTTCGATCCCGATGTAATTGTACTACAGTGGTAGTCGATAGAGAAAAAACTAAGTTATATTCCAGAATTTTAAAAATTTACATAAGGGTTAAATAAATAAAAATGAGAAATTAATAGATTTAAATGAATAGGGTGCCTAAATATTTTTTTTTTCAAAAATGTTTCAACATAAGTTTACATTAGGTATACAGAATTATTTATGACATATTCAAAATACCAAAAATGTACTTAAACTATAAGTATAAGCATATTTACTTTTACATGTCGATATTCTTAAACGGGACGTATAGTTATCTCAATTAAACTTTATTATTCTCGACGTATTTTGCATTAAATATGATTATACTTATTCGAAAACTGTATTTAATTATATCACAATATATCTCATGTAAAATTTACTGTTATACATAAATTAAATTCAATACAAGAAATTTACTGGAGTAAACGAATTTATTAAATTATATTAAACGCGACTTTTCATGCAGTGTATAAGTCCTAAATGGGGCCGTTTACAAAAATTCGAAGAATGAATATTGTTAAGAACATTATACTGACCATCTTTTGATCAATATTGCTTACCAAATATTCCCCTTTTTGAGGTATAAAGCATCAAATATTTAGCATGCAGACCCTTTGTTACCCCTCATTAAGTAACATATAATAAAAAATTATAATATATAGTTGCAAATCGTCAAGATAAATACTTTTGCTTCAGTAATGTATAACAAAATATTGATCGTTAGAGGGTTATAGATAAAAGACTTTTGGCCCCTCTGGGCCCCTAATTTGAGGGATCAGCCCCCTTTTCTTGATATCAAATGAAAGGTCTTGGGATTTCAAAGACGTTTTGTTCAACACCTATTCAGAGATTTCTTTTCGTTGTGGAGATATACTGAATAGAAATATTTAAGGGCTACCCCTCCAAGTCCTTAATGGGGCCTTTTTACAAAAAATGGTCAGAACAACAATGTCAAAATATTCCCCCTTTTCGAGATATGAAACCCCAAAGATTTAGCATTCTGGCCCCTTGTGACCCCTAATTACGTAACATATAATAGAAAATTCATAATATATAGTTGGAAATCGTCAAGATAAATACTTTTGCTTCAGTAATGTATAACAAAATATTGATCGTTAGAGGGTTATAGATAAAGACTTTTGGTCCCTCTGAGCCCCTAATTTGAGAGGTCAGCCCCTTTTTCTTCATATGAAATGAAAGGTCTTGTGATTTTGAAGATTTTCTGTTCAACACTTATTCAGAGATTTCTTTTTGTTATGGAGATATGCTCAATGAAAGTATTTAGGGGCCACTCCTACAAGTCCTAAATGGGGCCGTTTTACAAAAATTCAAACTATGCACATTGTTTAGAACACTATTCTGACCATCTTTTGTTTTAATAATTGCATATCAAAATATTCCCCCTTTTCGAGATATGAAACCTCAAAGATGTGACATTCTGACCCCTTGTGACCCCTAGTTACGTAACATATTATCAAAATAGTGTCATATATTGATGCAAATCGTTAAGATAAATACTTTTGCTTCAGTAATATATAACAAAATATTTATCATAAGAGACTTATAGATAAAAGACTTTTGGCCCCTCTGAGCCCCTAATTTGAGAGGTCAGCCCCTTTTTCTTGATATCAAAAGAAAGATCTTGTGATTCTTTGTTCAGTATTCATTCAGAAATTTCGTTGTGGAGATATGCTCAATGAAAATATTTAGGGGCCTCTCCTACATGTCCTTAATAGGACCCTTTTACAAAATGTCAATGTATGCATATTGTTTAAAACATTTTTCTGACCATCTTTAGTTAAATATTGCTTATCAAAATATTCTCCCTTTTTGAGATATAAAGCGTCATAGATGTGACATTCTGGCTCTTGTGACCCCTTATTACACAAGATATGCTTAAAAGTTTATAATATAATGTTCCAATTTGTTTAAAATTTAAAAATATCGAAAAATCGAGCAGAAAAAATGTTAAAAATTTTTAGTTACACGGGGGATCGAACCCGGGTCGCCCGCGTGACAATCCAATGCGCTAACCATTTAGACATTGAGATCGGCGCTTTGCATTTTCAAATGCATATATCTCGAGATTGGCTTTTTCGATTTTCAAACAAATTACATATTTCGCTTCTCAAAAAAAATATCTTTTAAATTCTAAAACAAAAATATTCAAAAAGAAAAGTTGAAAAATTGCGTTTTTTAAATTTGCTTCCAGTTTCGACCGGAAGTATTGACGTCGCACGAAAAGGCGATTCTGCAACGTTATAAATCATGAACTATCATCTCCAATTAATCTGAGCTTCATATCTTAAGCAACTTCGCTAAGTAATCAAGACAAAATTGCACTTTAAAATCAAAAAAATTGTCCATATCTCACGACCGGAAGTGACCTCATCGACAAAAAATTTCCAATAAAGTATATTTTAGATGTCAAAGTTTCATGAGAATCTGTCAAGTAGTTTACGAGAAATTGCGTGCACAAAATTGGTAAGAAAAATAATAATAACTAGAGCAAAGCTCGTTGCAAAGCAACGAGTAGGTCTTCCGTCCTGTTTTGACCGGAAGTGTCGAAAGTGACATCAAACAAGAAAGCAATGAGCTAAGTCGTCTACAGTGACTTTATAATTTCAATTTTGCATCAAAAACCTTTAAAATAAGCCATTTTTGGGCAGCTTCCGGTTTGACTGGAAGTGACGCCGACGGACGGAAAATTAATTTTTATGCTCCCAGAGACACATGTTATCCCAGAACTTGTCAATAACGGCAAAAATACGCGTTTTCCGACTACTTCCAGTTTGGCCGGAAGTAAGGAGGCCGGACGTATTTGGACGACAGCGGTACATAGAGCTTGATATTTTGAATAAGTTTGCTTCTTTGATGTATTACAACTTCACAATACTTTTTGAGATATAAAGAAAAAAATTTTGGCCCCTCTAGGCACCTCATTTTAGGGGCAAATCCCTTTTGCAAGATATCATTTGAAAGATCTTGGAATTCTACACTTCTTTTGTTCTATATGTTTTACAAAATGTTTCCAGTTAAAAAGATATCGTAGGAAAGGTGTTAAAATATTTGAAATTCTCGAAACGACTATTTTCGGGCCATAGCGAGCGCCGACAATATAAAACATGTTATACATATCTATAGATTTTGGCCTATCATACCTGAAAGTTTCATGTTTCTATCTTAAGCCATTATTGAGAAAGTCTGGAGACAACATGACCCTTCAAAAATCATAAAATCGATAATATCTCCATCCGGAAGTGACGTCATCAAATCGGAAAAAGAAATGCATGAGGATCAAGTTATGTTTTATAAGTCCTGAAAGTTTCATGGAAATCCATCAAGCTGTTTTCGAGAAATCGCGTGCACAAAATCGGTAAGAAAAAAAGAATAATGATAATAAAAGTGAAAAAGAAACCTAAGAATAACAAGAAGGTCTTCCGCTGAAGACGGAAGACCTTGATAATAACTAGATGAGATCTCGTTGCGAGGAACGAGTATGTCTTCCGTTGAATTTCTAGATAAGATTAAATGTGATTGTGACTGAGATATTCGTTAAAAGAGAATGACATTAAGTTTTCCTTCATTTCATTTTTTAAGTTTCCTTTTTTATCACAATATTCTGAACATCTTTTGTTTAATATGGCTTATAAAAATATCCTCTCTTTTCGAGATATAAAGTATAAAAGATGTAGCATTTTGGCCCATTGCAACCACTTATTACGTAACATATGATCAAAACTTTATAATGTATTGTTGCAAATCATTAAGATTAATATCTTTGCTTCTTATAATGGATACTTATAAAAAAACATCGATCATGAGAGAGTTGAAGATGAAATACTTTTGACCCCTCTAAGCCCCTAATTTAAGAAGTCAGCCCCCTTTTCTTCATATGAAATGAAAGGTCTTGTGATTTTGAAAATTTTTTGTTCAAGACTTATTCAGAATCTTCTATTTGTTGTGGAGATATGGTAAATAAAAATATTTTAAGGGTCACTCCTACAAGTCCTCAATGGGGCCATTTTACACAAATTCAAAGTATTCATATTGCTTAGAACATTATTCTTGCCATCTTCTTTTCAATATTGCTTATCAAAATATTTGACTTTTTGTTCTACAACTATTCAGAGATTTCTTTTCGTTTAGGAGATGTGCTTTATATAAATATTTAGGGGCCACTCCTACAAGTCCTTAATGGGGCCATTTTACCAAAATTCAAAGTTTGCATATTGTTTAGAATATTATTCTGACCATCTTTTGTTCAATATTGCTTATCAAATTTTCCCCCCTTTTCACGATATGAAGCGACTAAGAATTAGCATTCTGGCCCCTTGTGACCCCTAATTACGTAACATATGACCAAATATTGTAATATATTGTTGTAAA